TAGGCAAATAAGAAAAAGGGAACGGTTCTATGAGAGAACATGTCGCCGGTGAGACGCAAGTCCAGGAAGAACGGAATAAGGTAGAAACAATTGAGGCGGAACGCCCAATCCGGGGCACCATGGGGCCACAGGGGCGCCCCGAAAAAGGAGCCCCCCCCTTTGTGTAATGAATGGCACGTGCAGAGTCTGCATTCCCCCGCTGGTATAAATGGGCCGGCCCGGGGTCGCCGGGGGCTGGACGCCAGAGGGGACATGGGGAAGGTAGAGTCTGTGGAGTCTTTTTTAATTTTTTAAAAGGGAAAAAAAAGAAAAAAAAAGGAGGAAAAAAAAAGAAAAAAAAGGCAAAAAAATAAGAAAAAAATAAGGAAAAAAAAGGAAAAACCAGGGGGAAAAAAGGAAAAAAAGAAAGAAAAAAAGGAAAAAAAGGGAAGTAAAAAAAGAAAAAAAAAGGAAAAAAAACAAAACAAAAAAAAGTCTGTGGGGTCTGGATCTGTGGTTGGGAGTTTCCTTCTGTCCCCGTGTTCCTGCTCTGCTACTACTCCGCATAGTCTTATTATTGCTGTCATAACTTCTACCATTGTGATTAGTATTAATATCATTGACATTTTTTCATCTAGTCTACAGTGGGGGAAATAAGTATTTGACCCCTTGCTGATTTTGCAGGTTTGCCCACTTACAAAGAATGCTTATTTTTCCTCATCAGATGGTTATCAATTTTTATAAATTCATATGATGTGATTTTCTGGAATTTTCTTTGGGATTCTGTCTTTCACTGTTAGAATGTACATATGATTAAAGTTATAGATAGTTGCATTCTTTGTAAGTGGGCAATACTTATTTCCCCACTGTAACTGTTACTGTGTTGGCTGCCTCTCTCTGCTCCCTCTGTCCTTCTCTCCCTCTCTCTCTCTCTCTCTCACCCCCAACCGGCCGAGGCAGATGCCCCCCTACCCTGAGCCATGGTTCTGCTCAAGGTTTCTGCCTGTTAAAAGAAAGTTTTTCCTTGCCTGTGTCGCCTAGTGCTTGCTCATGGTGGGAACTGTTGGGTTTTCTGTTATTAACTCATTGGCTGCCAAAGACGTCTATAGACGTCTTTTATGTTTTTTAACGAGAGTGTCTGGGGGACGATCTGCTAAAGCTTGTCCGTAAATATCGGCTTCTAGACAGAGTATGTAGTAACAAATTGACCCTCTAGGGGGCAGTGCCACTTTTGATGGGAGATGAGCATAGACTGAAGGCAAATAAGAAAAAGGTAACGGTTCTATGAGAGAACATGTCGCCGGTGAGACGCAAGTCCAGGAAGCTCACGCTCCGTGGGGCCTGTGGGGGGTCCCTCCAGCCCCCCCCCGGCCCCCCCCCCCCGAACCCCCCCCCCTCTCTGCTCTCTCTCCAGATCGTGTTCTTCCAGGAGCGGGGCTTCGGCGGGCGCCGTTTGGAGTGCGGCGGCGACTGCGAGGACGTGGCGGGCCGTTTGGCGGCGTGCGGCTCGGTGCGGGTGGAGAGCGGCTGCTTCATGCTCTACGAGGAGCCGCACTACGCCGGGAACCAGCTCTACCTCAGCCGGGGGGAGTACCCCGACCTCCCGGGGTGGGCCGGGGCCGAGGGAGCCGTGGGCTCCTGCCGCCACATCGCCACGGTGACGGTGAGCCCGCCGCCATCAGCCCGGTTTTCCCCACAAAAACAGCCGGTCAGATCCACTTTAACCTTTGATCCCCAAAGAGTCTGTTCTGAGGAAACGTCTCCACTCCTGAGAGGAAGAGATGCATTTTGAACCCCTTAAAGACTCCTTTGAGCTCCTGATCTCCTGTTCTGATGTGACCTTTGACCTCCTGATTCCTGTTCTTATGTCACCTTTGACTGATGTGACCTTTGACCTCCTGATTTCCTGTTCCGATGTGATCTTTGACCTCCTGATTTCCTGTTCTTATGTCACCTTTGACTGATGTGACCTTTGACCTCCTGATTCTTGTTTTGATGTGACCTTTGACCTCCTGATTTCCTGTTCTGATATGACCTTTGACTGATGTGACCTTTAACCTCCTGATTTCCTGTTCTGATGGAGGTTCTGCCTCTCTGTTCCAGGATCCTTCTGTTTTCTCTGTGACCTTTGACCTCTGGGCCTCATAGCAGACGCTATCAGACACTACTGTTTAAATCTAAGATCTTTAGATGAAAGAAAATTATTGTTGAGTTCAAAGAGCTCAGAAATCTCAGCTTTTAGTGCCAATGGGAGCAGGGCTGCTGTCCCATGTGACCTGAGAAAGGAGAGGATACTGTGTGGGATCCATTTAAATGGAGGAACATCTGAGTGGGGAATTCTGTAGAAAACCACTGAGAAACCAGCTTTTTAGGGCTTTAGATGAAGGACAATCATTGAACAATCAGCTTTTTAGGTCTTTAGGGGTCTCCGGGGTCTCTGGGGTCTCTCTGGTCTCTGGGATCTCTCTGGTCTCTGGTCCCAGGGGTCTACCTGGTCTCTGGGATCTCTCTGGTCTCTAGTTTCTCTGGTCTCTGGGATCTCTCTGGTCTCTCTAGTCTCTGGGATCTCTGGTCTCTGGTCTCTAGTCTCTAGTCTCTAGTCTCTCTGGTCTCTGATCTCTAGTCACTAGTCTTTCTGGTCTCTAGTATCTCTGGTCTCTCTGGTCTCTAGTCTCTAGTCTCTCTGGTCTCTAGTCTCTGGTCCCTAGTCTCTAGTCTCTCTAGTCTCTAATCTCTCTAGTCTCTAGTCTCTAATCTCTCTAGTCTCTAGTCTCTAATCTCTCTGGTCTCTGGTCTCTCTGGTCTCTAGTCTCTGGTCTCTCTGGTCTCTAGTCTCTCTAGTCTGTGGTCTCTAGTCTCTCTAGTCTCTAGTCTCTAATCTCTCTAGTCTCTAGTCTCTAATCTCTCTAGTCTCTAATCTCTCTAGTCTCTGGTCTCTAGTCTCTCTAGTCTCTAGTCTATAATCTCTCTAGTCTCTAGTCTCTCTAGTTTCTAGTCCCTAGTCTCTAGTCTCTCTGGTCTCTAGTCTCTCTGGTCTCTAGTGTCTCTCTGGTGTCTAGTCTCTAGTCTCTCTGGTCTCTAGTCTCTCTGGTCTCTGGTCTCTAGTCTCTCTGGTCTCTGGTCTCTAGTCTCTAGTCTCTCTGGTGTCTGGTCTCTAGTCTCTAGTCTCTAGTCTCTGGTCTCTCTGGTCTCTCCAGTCTCTCTGGTTTTGTGGTCTTTCTGGTCTCTGGGGCCTTTCTGGTCTCTAGTCTCTAGTGTCTTTGGTCTCTAGGGTCTCTGATCTCTAGGGTCTCTATGGTTTCTGGGGTTTCTCTGGTCTCTGGTCCCTAGCCTCTGTGGTCTCTGTGGTATCTGGTCTCTGGGGTCTCTCTGGTCTCTGGTTTCTGGTCTCTGGGGCCCCTGATCTTTACCCCCCCCCCCCCCTCCCCCCCCCCCCCCCGCCCCGGGCCCCTCCCTCCCGCGTCTGTTCGGGCGGATCGAGTTCGGGGGCCGGCCGGTGGACCTGGTGGACGACTGCCCCTGCCTGCTGGACCGCTTCCAGCTGAGGGACGTCTTCTCCTGCAGCGTCGCCCACGGCAACTGGCTCTTCTATGAGCACCCGGGCTACCGGGGCCGGGTCTACCTGGTCCGGCCGGGGGGGTACACCCGCTTCAGCGAGTGGGGGGGGCGGAGCGCCCGGGTGGGCTCCATCAGGCGCATCCTGGACTACTAAGGCCCCCCAAGGACCCAGTCCAGGACCCCCTAAGGACCCCCCCAGGAGACCCTAAAGACCCCCTAAGGACCCTCCAGGACCCCCCAAGAACCCTCCAGGACCCCCCAAGGACCCTCCAGGATCCTCCAAGGAACCTCCAGGAACCCGGAGTGGAAACATCTCCATTTCTGAGAGGAACAGATGCATTTTGAACCCCTTAAAGTCTCCTTTAAACTCCAGATTCCTGTTCCGATTTGACCTTTGACCTCCTGACTTCCTGTTCCGATGTGACCTTTGACCTCCTGACTTCCTGTTCCGATGTGACCTTTGACCTCCTGACTTCCTGTTCCGATGTGACCTTTGACCTCGTGGTTTCCTGTTCTGATGGAGGACATTTCTGCCTCTCTGTTCCAGGATCCTTCTCTTTTCTCTGTGACCTTTGACCTCTGGGCCTCATAACAGACGCTATCAGACACTACTGTTTAAATCTAAAGGAAAACGCTTTTAGCGGTTTGATCCAAACGGGCCAATGGGAGCAGGGCTGCTGTCCCATGTGACCTGAGAAAGGAGAGGATACTGTGTGGGATCCATTTAGATGGAGGAACGTCTGAGTGGGGAATTCTGTAGAAAACCACTGAGAAATCAGATTTTTAGGTTTTTAGAGGAAGAAAGTAATTAAAAATCTGCTATTTTAGGTCTTTAAATGAAGAAGAATCAGCCTTTTCAGGTCTTTATTTGAAAGAAAATCATTAAAGATTAGCTTTATTTGGTCTTTAAATTAAGGAAATTCATAGAATAATCAGCTTTTTAGGTCTTTAGATGAAGGAAAATCATTGTTGTGTTCAAAGAGCTCAGAAATCTCAGCTTTTCCTGCTTTTTTCCTGTTTAAATCTAAAGCAAAATGCTTTCAGACATTTTCCACCAAGCAGGTTCTGATTGTGGAATTCAAATGTTGTAAATAAGTCATTTGGACCCTCAGAACCAAATGAATTAAATCTCTAAACAGACATTTTAAATCTAAAGATAAACCCACTGAGCCTCTATGAAGAAAAACTACCTGAACCAGGACAGAGTCTGGTTCTTAAACTGATCAGGATGTTTGGGGGATGCTGTTTCATCCCAGAGCTGCAGGGGGCGCCAAAGAGCCCCAGACCTGCTTTAATGTGGCCTCAGACCAGGACCAGAGGGCCAAACCTCAAACAAGGGCACACCTAAAGGTTTGGAAAGGTTTTAAGCCTTGAACCAGAAGGTTCTCTGACTCTTAAAGTTGAGTTTAGATTTATTTCGCGGCCAAACGGATAAATGTTCATTTTAAGTGATTCCAGTAGCTCTGATGGGTCCTATAAAGCCTTCAAATGAACAAGTAAATACAATCAAATAAGTAAATATAGTAGTAAATAAAGCTGGATAATAGTTCTTAGTCAGAGCCAAACAGCTAGTTTCTCTCCTTCCTTCAACTGATGAAACCCACGCGTGTTTTATAAATTAATTTTATTTTTCTAAACTGTGTGTCCTTTGAATAAAGTCTAAAAAAAAACCCTCTGTGTTCTCCAGTCTGGTGTCTCCTCACACGCCCCCCAGTCTGGGCCCAGGTGGGTCTAACTGGATCTAGCCGGATCCTGAAGGGGGATCCCAGACCTGGATCTCAGACCAGAATCCTGGACCAGGTTTTACTGAAATCCGGAGAGCCTCCTGACAGCCTGAAGGCTTCCAGAATCAGAAACTTTGGATAAATAACTTCTTAAAAGCTTCTTCTAGAAAATCTAATTAGTGTGAGCTCGTCCTTTTCTTGTTTTCTTTATCATTTGGATTCTTTTTAAAAACGTTTTAATCGTAAATTGATCCCTGTTTGTCTTCCACTGAACAAAAAACGTTGATAAGAAACAAATAAACAAAAAAAGTTATTTGAATAATAATAAATATTAATACAGAACATGACACAAAGAGATAAGATTCATGTAATTAATCAGGAATGTGACAAATCAGACAACAAACAGCCTATCGTCATGTTTTACACACAAACTCACGAGCACATACACACAAACTGTTAGCATAGAAGCTAAATAAAAGCATTTCTGGAAAAAACGACAACAACAATCACGTCAAACATCTGGAATCTCACAATCAGAGACTAGAATTAAAGACGTCTGTCCGGAAAGACGGGAAACAATGTTTGAATTTACTGGAGGTCAGGGCTGGGATGGAGGTCAGGACTTAGCTGGAGGTGGTCAGGGCTCAGCTGGAGGTCAAGGATTGGGATAAAGGCGGTCAGGGCTTAGCTGGAGCTTGGGATGGAGCTCAGGGTTGGGATGGAGGTCAGGGTTTAGCTGGAGGTGGTCAGGGCTGGGATGGAGGTCAAGGCTTGGATGGAGAGAAGGGCTCGGATGAAGGTGGTCAGGGCTCAGTTGGAGCTCAGGTCTTAGCTGGAGGTGGTCAGGGCTGGGATGGAGGTGGATGAAGGAGGTCAAGGCTCATCTGGAGCTCAGGGCTTAGCTGGAGCTTAGGATGGAGCTCAGGTCTTAGCTGGAGATGGTCAGGGCTTAGCTGGAGGTGGATGAAGGAGGTCAAGGCTTGGATGGAAAGAAGGGCTGGGATGGAGGTCAGGATTTAGCTGGAGTTGGTCAAGGCTTTAGCTGGAGGTTAGGGATGGAGCTCAGGGTTTAGCTGGAGGTGGTCAGGGCTCATCTAGAGCTCAGGGCTTAGCTGGAGATCAGGGATGGAGCTCAGGGCTGGAGGTCAGGGCTGGTATGGAGGTTAGAGATGGAGCTCAGGGCTCAGATGGAGAGCAGGTCAGGCTGGAGAGCAGGGTCAGGCTGAATGGCCTCCTGCTCTGTTACACAACATATTTAATGCTAAAGGGCTGTTCCATGCTGTTCTGCTGCCTTTGTCCGCTGGACCTCTGGATACCATACTAGTCCTTTCCTTTGTCCACGCGTGTCAAAACACCAAACCAGTTAATTATTTATCCCTTTTTTTTCCGAATACAAATCCATATTTTTGAACCCAATGTTGTTCCCCTGAACAAAAAGGCACACATGTGCTAGCAGCCTTCAGTTTGGATTTGAATGACAAAGCCTGGTTTGTGGGCAGGTGGTATAAAAAGCCCTGAAAACATGGGGGGTCTCTCCACTGGAGACCATGGGGAAGGTGAGTGCTGCTGTCGTCTGTGTGCCCAGTTCCTCTGGGTATGAACCAGTTCCTCTGGGTATGAACTGGTTAATCTGGGTTTGAACTGGTTCCTCTGTGTATGAACTGGGTCCTCTGAGTCTGGACCAGTTCCTATGTGTATGAACTGGTTCTTCTGAGTCTCGACCAGTTCCTCTGGATCTAAACTGGTTTCTCTGAGTATTAACCGGCTCCTTTGGGTATGAACTGGGTCCTCTGAGTCTGAACCGGGTCCTCTGGGTATGAACTGGGTCCTCTGAGAATTAACCGGCTTCTTTGGGTATGAACTGGTTCCTCTGAGTCTGAAATGCATAAACATAAACAAACCAGGATCTTCTGGGTATGAACTGGGACCTCTGAGTATTTACCAGGTGTCCTGGGTATCATACAGTTTCTATGGATCTGAACTGGTTCATCTGAGACTGACCCGGGTCTTCTGGGTATGAACCAGCTCCTCTGGGTCTGAACTGGTTCGTCTTGGTCTTAAACAGTTCCTCTTAGTCTGATGGTTCCTCAGAGTCTGAACTGGTTCCTCAGGGTCTGATCCAGCTCACCTGGGTCTGAACAGGTTTGGGTCTGGCTCCGGACTAGATGGTCCCTCTGGGCCTAAACCGGTTCCTCTGGGTCTCTGGGCCAAAACCGGTTCCTTTGGGTCTCTGGTTCTAAACTAGATCCTCTGAGTCTGAACATGTTTCCTGGGGTCTGACCTGGTTCCTCTGAACCGGATTCTCTGAGCCTGAACCAGTTCCTCAGGATCTAAACAAGTTCCTCTGGGTCTGAACTGGTTCCTCAGGGTCTGAACCAGTTCTTCTGAATATGAACCCGCTCTTTTGGGTCTGAACCAGCTTCTCTGGGTCTAAACAGGTTTGGTTCTGGCTCCTGACCAGATGGTCCCTCTGATTCTGAACCGGTTCCTCCGAGTCTGAACATGTTCCTCTGAGTCTGAACTGGTTCCTCTGAATCTGAACTGGTTCCCCTGAGTCTGAACATGTTCCTCAGAGTCTGAGCTGGTTCCTCGGGGTCTGAACCAGTTCCTCTGGGTCTAAACAGGTTTGGTTCTGGTTACTGACCAGATGCTCCCTCTGAATCTGAACTGGTTCCTCCGAGTCTGAAAATGTTCCTCTGAGTCTGAACTGGTTCCTTGGGGTCTGAACTTGTTCCTCTGAATCTGAACTGGTTCCTCTGAGTCTGAGCTGGTTCCTCCGAGTCTGAACATGTTACTCTGAGTCCAGACCGGTTTCCTCTGAGTCTGAATTGATCCCTCTGGGTTTGAACCAGTTCCTCTGGTTCAGTTCTAGCCCCTGACCACCGGTTCTTTCTCCTTCCAGATCATCTTTTACGAGGATAAGAACTTCCAGGGCCGGAGCTATGAGTGCAGCAACGACTGCTCCGACCTCCACTCGTACTTCAGCCGCTGCAACTCCATCCGGGTGGAGAGCGGCTGCTTCATGATCTACGAACGGCCGAACTTCATGGGCCACCAGTACTTCATGAGGAGGGGCGAGTACGCCGACTACCAGCGCTGGATGGGCTTCAGCAGCTGCATCCGCTCCTGCAGGATGATCCCAGCGGTGAGACAACACGTCCTGAGGGCTCTGGTTCCTCTGAACCAGTTCCTCTGAACCAGTTCCTCTGAACTGGTCTTCTGAACCAGTTCCTGTAACCCTGAACTGGTTATTCTGAGTTTGAGCCGGCTCCTCGTAGTCTGAGCCGGTTCTTCTGAGACTAAACCAGTTCCTCTGAGTCTAATGGTTCATCTGAGTCAGAGCTGGTTCCTCTGAGTCTGAACTGGTTCTTCTGAACCAGTTCTTCTGAGTCTGAGCCGGTTCCTCTTAGTCTGAACTGGTTCTTCTGAGTCTGATGGTTCAACTGAGTCGGAACTGGTTCCTCTGGGTCTGAATCGGTTTCTCTGAACTGATTCCTCTGAACTGATTCCCCTGAGTCTAAACCGGTCCCTATGAGTCTGAGCTGGTTCCTCTGAGTCTTCTTCTGAGTCTGAACTGGTTCCTCTTAGTCTGAACTGGTTCTTCTGAACCAGTTCATCTGAGTCAGAACTGGTTATACTGAGTCTGATGGTTCATCAGAGTCAGAACTGGTTCTTCTGAGGCTGATGGTTCATCTGAGTCGGAACTGGTTCCTCTGAGTGGGAACTGGTTCCTCTGAGTCTAAACCGGTCCATCTGAGTCTGATGGTTCATCAGAGTCAGAACTGGTTCTTCTGAGTCTGATGGTTCATCTGAGTCGGAACTGGTTCCTCTGAGTCTGAGTCTCTGAACTGATTCCTCTGAGTCTAAACCGGTCCCTCTGAGTCTGATGGTTCATCAGAGTCAGAACTGGTTCTTCTGAGTCTGATGGTTCATCTGAGTCGGAACTGGTTCCTCTGAGTCTGAACCGGTTTCCCTGAACTGATTCCTCTGAACTGATTCCCCTGAGTCTAAACCGGTCCCTCTGAGTCTGATGGTTCTTCTGAGTCTGAACTGGTTCCTCATAGTCTAAACCGGTTCCTCAGAGTCTGATGGTTCATCTGAGTCAGAGCTGGTTCCTCTGAGTCTGAACTGGTTCTTCTGAGTCTGAACTGGTTCCTCTTAGTCTGAACTGGTTCTTCCGAACCAGTTCATCTGAGTCAGAACTGGTTATTCTGAGTCTGATGTTTCATCTGAGTTGGAACTGGTTCCTCTGAGTCTGAACCGGTTTCTCTGAACTGATTCCTCTGAGTCTAAACCGGTCCATCTGAGTCTGATGGTTCATCAGAGTCAGAACTGGTTCTTCTGAGTCTGATAGTTCATCTGAGTCGGAACTGGTTCCTCTGAGTCTGAACAGGTTCCTCTGAATTGGAACCCGTTCTCTGACTCCGAATTTCAATTAAATTTAGTTCAATTTAATATATATAGAGCCAAATCACAACAGCAATTCTCTCCCAGAGCAGAGCAGCTCAGACTCTGAGTTATCAACAGAAGAACAACAGTCCTCACCAAGAGCAGCACTAGGAGACACAGGGAGGGAAAAACTGGTTCATTTGCATCTTAAGCGGTTCTTCTGAGTCTGAACTGGTTCCTATAAGTCTGATTGGTCCTGCGGGTCTGAACTGATTCCTTTGGGTCAGGTCCCTCTGAGTCTGTTGGTTCCCTAAGACTGAACTGTTTAATTTGAGTCTGAACTGGTTCCTCTGGGTCTGATTGTTCCTTTGAGTCTGAACCAGTTACTCTGAGTGTGAACCGATTCCCCTGAATCGGAACCGGTTCTCTGAGGTCCGAATTTCACTTACATTTAGTTCAATTTCACTTACATAGCGCCAAATCACAGCAGCAGTTCTCTCCCAGCTTTCCAAACAGAGCAGCTCAGACTCTGAGTTATTTACAGAAGAACAACAGTTCCCTCTGAGTCTGAAGTGGTTCATCTGAGTCTGAACTGGTTCCTCTAAGTCTGAACCGATTTCTCTAAGTCTGAACCGGTTCACCTGAATCGTAGCCGGTTCCCTGAGGTCCGAATTTCAATTAAATTTAGTTCCATTTACATAGCGCCAAATCACAGCAGCAGGAATCTCTCAGCTTTCCAAACAGAGCAGCTCAGACTTTGAGTTATTTACAGAATAACAAAGGTTCCCACCAAGAGCAGCACTAGGAGACACAGGGAGGGAAAAACTTCCTCTGAGTCTGAACCGGTTCCTCTGGGTCTGAACTGGTTAATTTCAGTCTCAACTGGTTCTGCTATGTCTGAACTGGTTCTGCTACATCTGAACAGGTTCCTCTGGGTCTGAAGGTTCCACTGACTCAGAAGTCATTCCTCCAAATCTGAACTGGTTCCTTTGAATTTAAACTGGTTCACTTGAGTCTGAAGTGGTTCCTCTGAATCTGTGCCGTTTCCTCTGAGTCTGATGGGTCCCCTGAGCCTGAACTGGTTTCTCTAATTCTGAACTGGTTCCTCTGAGTCTGAAGTGGTTCATTTGAACTGGTTCCTCTGAGTCTAAACTGGTTTCTCTAATTCTGAACTGGTTCCTCTGAGTCTGAAGTGGTTCCTTTGAACTGGTTCCTCTGAGTCAGAACTGGTTCCTCTTGGTCTGAAACGGCTCCTCTGGGTCGGAACTGGTTCCTCTGAGTCTGAACTGGTTCCTTTGAACCTGTTCTTCTGAGTCAGAACCGGCTCCTCGGAGTCTGAACCGGTTCTTTTGGGTCTGAACTGGTTCCTCTGGGTCTGAACCGGTTCTTCTGAGTCAGAACTGGTTCCTCTGGGTCTGAACCGGTTCTTCTGAGTCTGAACTGGTTCTTCTGGGTCTGAACCGGCTCCTCTGGGTATGAACCGGTTCTTCTGAGTCTGAACTGGTTCTTCTGAGTCAGAACTGGTTCCTCTGGGTCTGAACCGGTTCCTCTGGGTCTGAACCAGTACCTCTTATTCTGAACCGGTTCCTTAGAACTGGTTTCTCTGGGTCTGAACCCTCTCTCCTGGGTCTGATCTGGGTCTGGACTCAAACAAACCAGTTTAGACTCAGAGGAACCGGTTCAGACTCAGAGAAACCAGTTCAGACTCAGAAGAACCAGTTAAGACTCAAACAAACCAGTTTAGACTCAGAGGAACCCTGATCCTGCCCCCCTCCCCGGTCCCTAACCCTGATCCTGGTCCCTGACCCTGACCCTGATCCTGATCCTGGTCTCCCCCCCCCTACAGTACCGGGGCTCCTACCGGCTGCGTATCTACGAGAAGCCGGACTTCAGCGGCCACATGATGGAGTTCCTGGACGACTGCCCGTGCGTGTCGGACCGGTTCCACCACCGCCACGTGTACTCCTGCAACGTGATGAGCGGCTACTGGGTCTTCTACGAGTACCCCAACTTCAGAGGGAGGCAGTACTTCCTGCGGGCGGGCGAGTACCGGCGCTACCGGGACTGGTGCGCCACCTGCGCCATCATCGGCTCCTTCAGGAGGGTCACCGACTTCTAGCATTAAAGAGTTCCACCTTAAGAGTCCTCTCTGAGCCGGCCTCCTTCCTTCAGTCAGAGATATCAATACATGTTAAAAATAGTCAGAAAAACACCAGTTATTATCAATACATGTCATAATTAGTCAAAATACCAGTTATTATCAATACATATCATGATTAGTAAGCAAAAATACCAGTTATCAATACATGTCATTAGTCAATAAAAATACCAGTGTACTCCTGCAACGCGATGAACGGCTACTGGAAAAAATACCAGTTATTATTAACAAATATTATTAGTCAGTAAGAAATACCAGTTATTATCAATACATGTCATAATTAGTCAGTAAAAAATACCAGTTATTATCAATACATGTTAAAAGTAGTCAATAGAAATTACCAGTTATTATCAATACATGTCATAATTAGTCAATAATAAATACCAGTTATTATCAATACCCCAACTTCCGGGGGCGGCGATTACCGGCGCTACCGGGACTGGTGCGCCACCTGCGCCATCATCGGCTCCTTCAGGAGGGTCACCGACTTCTAGCATTAAAGAGTTCCACCTTAAGAGTCCCCTCTGAGCCCGCCTTGTTTCTTCAGTCAGAGAAAATACCAGCTAAAAAAAATAAAAAAAATAAACCTTGTTCCTTCAGTCAGGAAAAATACCAGTTATTATCAATACATGTTAAAAAGAGTCAGAAAAACACCAGTTATTATAGATACATATAATTAGTCAATCAAAATACCAGTTATTATCAATACATGTCATAATTAGTCAATAAAAAATACCAGTATTCAATACATGTCATAATTAGTCAATAAAAAATACCAGTTATTATCAATACATGTTATACTTAGTCAATAATAAATACCAGTTATTATCAATACATGTTAAAAGTAG